CACACACACACACACACACACACACACACTCACACACACTCACACACACACACACACACACACACACACACACACACACACACACACACACACACACACACACACACACACTCACACACACTCACACTCTCAATCTCACACACACACACACACACACACACACACAGACACTCTATGTTTTATGGAGACTTCCCATAGACATAATGGTTTTTATACTGTACAAACTGTACTGTACTTACCCTAAACACAACCCTCACTGGAAAGGTTCTCCATTTGTAGATTGTCAGAAAGCCTGATGTTGAACTCTGCTTTATTTCGCAGGTTCGTCAGTGCACTGGAGTCCCGCTCCGCCCGCCGTGGACACCCGGATGTGATGTCATCAGTCTGCGTCAGCGGCACACGTTCAATAACTCATTACCAATAGCTTCAACCAAGGCCCTTTTCAACTAGAGCATATATTTTTATGTACATATCTATATATAATTGAAAACAATGCTTATTTTGTGTCAGACAGAAGACGGAGAACTCGGCTTTTATACGGCAAACACAGAGCAATACTTCCTCGCCTCAAATCAGGTCACCGTCGCTGGGTTTGTATCGCGAACTCTTTTTACTTTCGTTTGGTGTCGTTGCTCTCTTCAGGGTTTGTGACGAATGATTAATGCATACTGCAAACGTATGAATGGAAAACTGCTTATTTAAGAAAAACATTTTATACCTTGAGATAAAAATGTGTAAATTTCTTGCATAATTCTAGAGTAAATAAAAGAGTATATTCACAAAAATGTTCTTATGTTTTACTTCAACAGATTTTCAACTGTTCTACAATTAACTGATGTTTGCTTTAAAATAGTTTTGTTAATATATATATGTGTGTGTGTGTATATATATATATATATATATATATATATATATATATATATATAAAATAAAAAAATAATATATATATATATATTTGGACACATTGCATTTGTACATTTGGAATACATTTAAACTTATCGGAGCTTATTATGCAGATAAATAAGTATGTGTTCTTTGTTTTTTTGTCTCGCTGTCAAACACCATGTGACACAGAATTATGTTTTTGTTTGGGTCATTTTTGTTTCTTTTACATTTGGTTTTGGTGGAATATCAACAGAAATGTTTTTTTTATGACATTTGGACGAAACATTTAGAATAATGTTGCGTTCTGCATCCTTTTGCACTTCCTGACCAGCTGGTTATATTCGCTGTAACCAAAGCCAGTTTGGTGAGTGTTGTCTTGGTCTCCGTTATGACACACAGTCCCTCTCTGGAGACGCTCACGTGTCTTAAACTCTTCTGCTGATCGGCCGATGAACACCAGGAGGAGCTTCATCTGCTCTCGTTAGGACTGAAGCCGGTTCCCATGCTCTTCAGGAGCTCGTTAGCATGTGTTAATGCAAACCAGTTCATGAGAACTTCCTCCCTTCAGATGATTTTCAGATGATTCGCTGTGGAGTGTCTGCACTGCAAAAAATGATGCTCTTCCTCAGTATTTGTCTTGATTTCTAGTACAAATATCTAAACATCTTTAACCCGTTGGTGCTCTACGAGCATTTTCGACTGAAAAATGTTGGTTGTTTAGAATTTTCACTCACCGGAAACGCAGTGAATTTTTTGGAACTTGCTGTGTTTACGCATGAAAATCATGGACATGATCTGAAAAAAAAAAAGTCACACTTTTACTGTTCATGTAAAAAATGACGGTGTTGAAAATGAATGGGAAGTGAATTTCATCTTGTGGAAACGTTTGGTACTGCGGCCAAACAAGGTCTTACTGAAAGCTCATATTTCGTGATATCAACCTCAAATTTGAAACACCACTTGTGTAGATTCATGGCTTTGAATTTCTAGCCGTTTCAGAATAAAACATGTTTTTGAAAATATGTATTTCATATACAATTTGAAAATAGTATTTTTGTGCATTTTTTTTTTTTAAAGAATCTTCTTTAAAAGAGACCAAACTTAAGTCTGTGTTCCAAAGCATTCAAGATTTATGAGTTTAAGTTGTGCTCAGAAAGCGGTTAACAGGTAATAAATGTATTATAATCCATGTTGGGGAACGTTACTTTTAAAAGTAATGTATTACAATATTGCGTTACTCCATAAAAAGTAACTAATTGTGTCAAGTTACTTTTTATGGAAAGTAATGCATTACAATACATTGTGTTACTTTTTGTCACCTGGGTTGGGCTTGCTTATTTATTTTTAACAACAAAAAACCCCAAAAGTGATATTTTTGGCAACTATAAAGTCAGTTTCACAGTAAAAGTGAGCTGAATAATCCTCAGACTGAAGGAAGAGTCTCTGATTTCTCTCAACATGAGGACAGGAGAGTCACTACATGAGAATCAAAGGAACTGCTGCTACTTATTTGAAAAAGTAACTCCGATATTTTATGGTAAATTTAAAAGTAATGCATTACTTTATTAGTTACTTGAAAAAGTAATCTGATTTCATAACTTGTGTTACTTGTAATGCGTTACCCAACACTGGTTATAATTGCTGCATGCATATCATTTGGTACCATAAAATTCACTAAAAGTGCAAATTAATTTAATTGAAGAAAAAAAATCAGCCATTTTTGACCACCGTGTGAGCAGCACTAAGTTGCATTTACTTATTTTCTGAAAACTGAGTTTATGCTTAAAAAAAGAAAAAAAAATTACATTTCAGTGCGCTCAGAAAAATAAACTCAAGTTTATTTGCAGGAATTTTATATATTAAGTTTATTTTGACCCCATCAGCAGATTTTTTCTTTCTTGTTTTATGCATAACTCACTTAATTTTGGTATATTTTTCAGAAAGCAAGCTTTAATATCTTTTGTCATTTTGCTTTTGTCTTGATTTAAGGATATTTATACTGAAAACAAAATGCAGTGTAAATTTCGCAAAACAGGAATATTTCACCTGAAGATGAAGACTTTAAGCATTCCTCTTCCTGTCGCTCCAATTCAGCTTCCTGTGTGTTGTGACTAATTCAATTCAAATTCACACTCATAATTCAAAGTTTTGAAGCACAAAATTGCACTGGAACTCATAATTACTTGTTCTTATTACGACTGCCACATCCGATTAGCAGCCTGACTGACTGAATGAGTGAATGAAGAAATACAGTATCGTAATGAATTACATTTCATAGTCTGCTCGATTACAGATGGGGGTGTTTATAATCGAGCGATTTGCATTATTGATGTGATGCCAGAGTGCAGGAGCGTCTCTCACCTCGTACGAGTCTCCCTTTATCTGGTCTGCTGTGTGATGATTAATAACGCTGAAGGATTGTCTTGAGTTCTGGGAGTTTTCCGTGTATGGGTGTTTTGGGCCTCTTTTATTAATGAGCGTCATGTGATTCGATCACGTGTTCAGTAGTCATTGTGCATTTGTTACAGCATTCCTGAAGCTCAAGCCGTGTGGTGCTTGCAACACCGAGCTCTTGAGTTTGATTCCCAAGAAATGCATGAACAGATCAAATGTTCGGTTAGTGAGTGAGATCATATGCTGCTTGAATGCAACGGAAGTTGCTTTGGATTAAAACAGTGTTGGGGGTAACGCATTACAAGTAACGCGAGTTACGTAATCAGATTACTTTTTTCAAGTAACTAGTAAAGTAACGCATTACTTTTTAGTTTACAAGAGAATATCTAAGTTACTTTTTCAAATAAGTAACGCAAGTTACTTTTTTTTATTTTTATTGATTGACAGCTCTGGTGTCGCCATGGTGAGAAATCAGAAGATGTTACAGTAGTTCTAAAATAAATATGAATATGCATTAATTCATCTCACTCTTTAATTCTAATAACCAATGTTTTTGCGTCTGACCTTCGATGATCCAGTTCAAGCGTACTAATAAGCAAAAATTGCTCTAGACAAACATTTGTGTCTTTGTTTATTGCTGAAGTGTGTTGAAATCTCTTCTTCTGCATTCTACTGTACTTTCCCTTCAGCCTGATGCTTATTCATTTCACTTTTGCTGTGAAAGGCTTTTATATTAGCCAGAAATATAACTTTTTTATTTTAAAAACAAACAAGCAAGCCCAGTCCAGATTTAAAAAAAATGTAAAAGTAACGTAACACATTACTTTCCATAAAAAGTAACTAAGTAACGTAATTAGTTATTTTTTTTATGGAGTAACGCAATATTGTAATGCATTACTTTTAAAAGTAACTTTCCCCAGCACTGGATTAAAGCTACCGTCACATGCATAGATCTAAATTAGAAGTGTTTGCTCAGCTGTCAATCCGTCACTGCACTAAAACAAGAGTTTTACACTTTGCTGGTTAAATGCATCAATTAAAATGACGAGCATTCTACTTGAAATGTCAAATTTCTGCTGAGAATCCAGTTTCTTGTTTTTTATCAACATATGCAGTTCACTGTTATTTTACTATTCTTGAGATATTATTATACTTTTTGTTAATATTTTGAATTAGCTTTATTTTATTACTATAATTTCAATTTTGATAATTTTGAGGGATTTGTCGTTTTTGTTATTTTTATAGTTTTTTATTTCAGTTTTAGTACATCAAGTTGAGAATTGTTGCCTTGGCAACTATCTGAAATAAAATAAGTGTTTTATTTTATTGTATTAGCTTTAGTTTAGTTAGCGGTTATTTTATTTCAAGCAACAAAAATAAATTTTTCTGGTATTACAGGGTTTCTGCAGGTCTTAAAAAGTTTGATTTCTCCCTTCAAACAAATTAAGGCCTTAAAAAAATAATGGCTTTAAATGTTGCATGCACTGCAAAAACCAACCAACCAATCAATCAATCAATTAACCAACCAACCGACCAACCAACCGATCAACCAACCAATCAACCGATCAATTAACCAACCATCCGACCGACCAATCAACCAACCGACCAACCAACCAATCGACCAATCAACCAACCAACCGATCAATTAACCAACCAACCAATCAACCGACCAACCAATCAATTAACCAACCAATCAGCCAATTAATCAATCAATTAACCAACCAACTGACCGACCAACCAATCAACCAATTAATCAATCAACCAATCAACCCACCGACCAATCAACCAATTGACCAATCAATCAACCAACCAACCAATCAACCAACCAATCAACCGATCAATTAACCAACCATCCGACCGACCAATCAACCAACCGACCAACCAACCAATCGACCAATCAACCAACCAACCGATCAATTAACCAACCAACCAATCAACCGACCAACCAATCAATTAACCAACCAATCAGCCAATTAATCAATCAATTAACCAACCAACTGACCGACCAACCAATCAACCAATTAATCAATCAACCAATCAACCCACCGACCAATCAACCAATTGACCAATCAATCAACCAACCAACCAATCAACCAACCAATCAACCGATCAATTAACCAACCATCCGACCGACCAATCAACCAACCGACCAACCAACCAATCGACCAATCAACCAACCAACCGATCAATTAACCAACCGACCAACCAACCAACCAACCGACCAACCGATCAATTAACCAACCGACCAACCAACCAATCAACCGACCAACCGATCAATTAACAACCAATCAACCAATTAATCAATCAACCAATCAACCAACCGACCAATCAACCAATTGACCAATCAACCAACCAACCGATCAATTAACCAACCGATCAACCAATCAACCAATTAATCAATCAATCAACCAACCAACCAACCAACCTTTAAAGGTAAATCAAGATAGATTTACTTGAGATGCCAAATGAAGATAGTTGTTGTTTTATAAGTCTTGTTTATAAAGACTTGAGTTTATGCTT